AATATTAAAATCAAAATTCTGGATTGTCTACAGGTAAAAAAATAAAAAAATAAAGAATACGAGTATAAAGGTGTGACGGTGAATTAAACTTAAGATATTCGAGAATTTAATAGACAATATTATTAGGTGTAGGTACGTTTTTTAATCCAAAAAATAATAATATTTTCATTCGGAAAACTGCACCTCAAGTATATTGCATATAGATTTAGGTATTATAATTTACGCTAAGATCTTATGTTAAAATGGTCACTTAAAAAACATGACGTATTGTGTACGATGCAAATACTTTTGCGTGAAATGTGATTATGTGATTAATACAATTATTTACCATATTTAGCTATATTAAATATTAATTTAAATTATAGCTACAATATGCATTGTTAGATTATATATAGGTACAATTTATTATTTAAGGAGTAAGGACTATTATTGTCTTCAATCTGTTATCAAATGCGATTTGCTTGAAATTATATCAAATGGACTGGAGATGCGAGTCTCGYTTTAAGACAAAATTTAAAAAAAATAGATARGCATAAAATTTAAAWATTTCTAAACTCGATGAAAACCCAAAATCAAATTTTTTTCAAATACACTCACTCGTGTTTCAATAGTTAGTATAGTAAAGAGGATAGGTACACTCACCATGTCGCATAGCGTGAGAGAAGAAGAACGTCAGTGTCAACAGCAACGCTGCAGCGATTTGTGTTTGTAAATTTCTCATCGCCCGGCAGGTAAACTTATTATGTTAACGGAATAAAAAAACAACGGTCGAATGCGAAATGACTTGATTCTTGGCTTTATACAATTATTACGATCAGCTCTGATCGTGTCTGAGAACGGATTTTTCGGACGATTTCTCGTATACGCACACGCCTCACTCAAGCTCTGCAGCAGCGTTGTCCTCTATCGTCATCAAAAACGGTGACGGCGCTGGTCGAGTGAATGCGAGCGCTGAATCAACCGGTATGGGCTTTTATAAGGGACCCGCCACGGTGGGCGGCGCTCGCCAACTTTGACGCAACAAATCAATTCACCAATCCCCGGTTTTTGTAGCGGCTTATAGTGTTACAACTTATGGTTTTTCGAGTTACGGCAGTTACGGGGTGGAAAAATAATGTCATATAATTAAAAATGAATCTCCGGTAGCCGACGCCGTCGCTCGAAGGCAAGGTGTATTATATTTGCATCACTCGATTCACAACAATATTTATGTGTGTGTGTGTCTACTATTCTGTGCTTTAAAACTTAGTTTGGGACAATTTTAAACGTTATTTAGGCACAATGACATCATAAAGGAATTTTCTATTTGGAGAACAGTGAAAAAATGTATAGGGTTGATGGTGAATATAAAATGTGAAGAAAAAAATTCGCCACTGGTCTCTGCTATTACATAATACGTATTATAGATATCATATTATTATAAAATAAAAGGGTATAAACTGGACGCGCGATGTCACCACTCAAATGCGTAATCGACGTTCGAATCATATTTAGATTTTCAAAATGGATACTACTTATAAATWCTTGGTTCATGAGTATGTGGTATTTGGTATCTGGTTATATATTACTTGTATGTGTTACGCACTGCGTTAAAATTACATCATTTTAAAACGTTGTATTTGACGCGAGTCTAAACGTTTATTTTTGAACCCACCTTGTTCATTGCGCACCGCTTAAGTGTACATTATATTCGAATTTTGATTTTCAGACTCTGTAACTCGATATTTCCGTAGTACGATATGCGAGGTGTACTAATATCAAGCTAGCACCGTTTATTCGTAGCTCTTCGCATTCCTTTAAAGAACCTCTTACAAACATCCAAATATATTTGTACCTATATATAATATTATGGAAACTATTCTCTGGAGTGCAACGTAACTATATGCAACTCACAGCGTTCTGATTTAATATTAAACAGTTAAATTAAACGCAATTATTATAGGGGGTTGTAATCCCCCAAAAGACGTTCTTAGTATCTTCTTGAAATTTAAATCGATTCCCATAAAAATAAAAACCCTAGTCAAGCGTTCAATTTGTGAACCATAGTTAATAATTATTTTAATTGTGTATGTATAATATAGATAAATTACATTTATAGTTTGGATGTATATATGGGATGATTCATCAACCATTTTCAGTCCAATTTAAAAAAATATATATATATATATATATATTTGAATTCTGGTATTTTAAGGATATATAATATTAAAGATCTATTTAAATACTTAAATTTTTTAAATATTTGAAAATATAGTCCTAAAGAATACTTAAAATTTAAAAAAGTCAGGATTATTAAATAAATAATTGAGATAGCCTTAGCATACATCTGATGAATCACCCTGTATTTCTGAACCATTTGGTAATTGTAGCCTATTTCAGTTTTCGCACAAAATCGTTGCAATCTATAAAAATATGAAATATGATTT